AATAGGGAGCATACTCTGCTTTTACTGACTGTTGCAGTGTCAGTGAACTCCTCAAACCTACGCAAAGATGCTACTGTGCTGCTTTTATGACATTAACGTTCAACTGGCAGGCACAAATTTTAATTCACAGTTTTTTGTTTTTTTTTTGCTTAATTTAATGTACTGGAAAAAGCATAAAATGTGGTCTTTTAGAAAATACATTTTTTCATAATTTTTATTTTATTGTTCCCCAATATGTTAAACTGAAAAAACTGCACTAAAATTTGCTGAAAAATGCCATATTTACATTTGTTCTCTGTAGATGTCTCTTCTTTATTTTCACTTAGAAAATCAGCAAAATGTTGACTGGGGGTGTTCAAACATTTGCAGACAACTGTAAAATTATTTTCAAACTTATGAACTCTAGCAGTCATTGTGCATTAAGAGAGCATTACATTGAGAGAGCATTGTCTAGTGAAATCAGATTAAATTATCACTGTCCTTTGTGATAACTTACGATATGTCATTTTTATTGTTTGTGTTTTCATTCATGAGTTTTATGATAGGTATAATATAAAACAATAACCTTCAAATAAAAGCAGAAAATCTTTTTTAATATAAATACCTGAATAGTGAGATGTTGTGTTGCAATTTTAGGACAGTGCAGACTTTCCTCCACCTGTCTGTGCATCACAATGAATCCCCCACTCTCCCCATGAGTCATCGTGTTGTGCAGTGCAGCAGCGCAGAGCAGAACGGCCAACACGCACTAAAACGGGGGGAGTGAAACAGCTGGTTTGGCTGTTTGTCCACATGACAGTTGCCAGCTGTGGCTGTGCAGCTTTGCTGCTCACTGGGAATAGATCAACTGTCACAGCAACTAATTCATTCCTAGTGACGATGTCAATGTTAGTGGCAAGTGCACTTCAAGTCACTTCCAATATCTAATACGTATGAATGTGAGTGATGTATGAGAGAAGTAACTACTTTCAGTAGCCAGGTATTCACCCAGCTTATGTCTACTCTGTGAGCGAACTACTGTATGTGCCAGTATGGACCATTCTGTCAAATTAGTTTAAACTGCAGCCCCACAATCAGTAAGTAAGTAAGTAAGTAAGTAAGTAAGTAAATAAATAAACACACAAACAAACAAACATTCCGAACCTAGATATTTACAAGTATTATGTTATACTGTATTTAGACCTAAGGCATTAATTGAAATAGGAAAAAAAATTTGTTAAATGTGAACAAAATTAGTATTTATAGGGTACTTTCTATTGGGATGTCCGAAACACTAACCCCTAAACGCATGTGGGTAGCACTGTCACCACACAGCAAAGGAGGGTCTGGGTTCGATTCCCTAGCTGGGTGACCAGGGCTCTTTCTGTGTGAAGTTTGCATGTTCTCCCTGTGTCTTTGTGGATTTCATCCCACAGTCCAAAGACATGCAGTTAGGCCAACCGGAGATGTTAAATGCCCCTAGGTGTGAGTGTGTGTGTGTGAATGTATATGTCTGTCTGTCTGCCCTGCGATGGACTGGCAACCTGTCCAGGGTGTTTCCTTTTTTCTGCCTATTGACCACTGGGATAGGCTCCAGCTCCTCTGTGACTCAGAAGGATAAGTGGTTAAGAAAATGTGTGTATTTTCAATAAGATATTTCTTATTAGATTTATATTTATATTTATATTTAAATAAAAATAACTTTATTCAATAAATACTGTACCATGTTTTCATGCATCACTGTCCCTCATGGCAACAGTGAACACTTAGATCCCATTGTTTTGAAGTAAATGTGTCCCAAAGTCTTAAAATCAGTGTGTAACATTAAGAACTGTCACTACCGAAACACACCGTTTCTGCAATTATTTTTTTTTTTTTGTGTTACAATGAAAAACATTATGATTTTATGTGTGTACAATTGTTCAAAGGTGTGTTTGCCAGTTATGTACTGGCTAGCACTTTTGAGTTCTGTTCAAAATGAACTAAAATTGTCTCTACCGAAACAATCGCTACTGAAACATTTGGTCAAGTTTCAGTAGTGTTATGATTGTTTGGGAGTGAAAAATGTTCAATCTTATTTTTTTTTTTTTATTAAAATAAACATAATTAAGATGTAGGGTCAATTAGAGCAAAGGATTTTGTTCTAAAGTCCTAGTCATTTAAAAGTCTGAAAAGGGTTTTCAACTCTGACTTTACACCAATTCAGCAGAATGGTCTATGTAAGCCTGAATAGTCTGAGGTAATTACTGAGACAAATTCAAAGGGCGCTCCACAACAATGCCACAGTACAAAAACTACACGACACTGAAATTAACGGTTATTCAAGTCTTCATTTCCTGAAAAATTCAGCTTCATTTAGAATCACTTATGCTACCACCAGTAGTGTCAGACAAACTGCATTGATAAAGACAGACAATTCTTCTCTTCTTTCACACAAATGCTGCTCTCTCTTTTTATATACGTTAGATTTCACATCAAAAGTGTTGCAGCAGAAAGGCAGCACACAATACTGGAACAAGCCACAGTGAATCAGCAGATCTGGACACCCAGGGGTAAAGCAGAGGCTTAATGTATTCATAATTTATAATTTAAAAATCTCCAAACTGGTATGGCACTATTTATAATGCAGCTTTAGGATGAATTGATTTATCAATGCCAACAAATCTGTCCTTTCATAGCAACTGTTGTGAGATTGGACAGGTATCACAGAACATAGGCAAAAATCCCTTTCAACCACATGAGATACTGTTGCGTACAACTCAACAATTGTCAAAATACAGAAGTAGAGGGCATTATTACTGTCAAATGAAAACATTGTTAGGATGCATAATTAAACTCTCAAAGAAAGCATAGCAATTTCCTTATTGTCTTTTGCACCGTTGGGGCTAACACAGGGGCGTTAACACATGTTTAGTTATCAGGTCAGCTCTCGAAATCCTAACTAACAGGAGAGCTCTCTTCGATATATTTATCTATTCCTAATTGGCCCATTTTTCACAAGGCGTTTATAGACTCCAACCTTTTTGTTTCCAGCCTACACTTAACAATGAAGTGAGAAGTACTGTAATACTTGCATAGTTTAAATGCAAACATTCAACTGAATAAAACTGAACTTAAACTTACAAACACATTTTTTTTTTTTTACTTCCTAGTAAACATTAGGCTTCTGAAGGCCCTGAGAGTTTTCTTCTGCTTTTAGAGATGTAGGAGTATCGCAAGTAATTCTTATTCTACTTCATTATAGTACAAACTAGTCACATTACTGTTACTTTGTACTGGTTTACCTGCAACACCGGTTATTTGCAATATACCTAGTTTCAATTAGTTGATCCCTTAAAATCTCAGGCTTATTACATACTAAGGCATATTATTCAGTGACTACAGGGACTTCATTGCAAACTGGCTGAGCTATTCTTAAGTTATAGAAGTGTGTAATAAAACTTTGGGCCCACTGGTGGGCCCTGACCATTTAAGGGGTTAAAACGTCAGTCCAGCGTGGTGGTGTAACATTAAAACTGGAAACTAACAGTGTCATCCACAAATATTGGTGCATCTGATAAAAAATGAATAATGAAGTCACGAAATAAATAATTTTCTCAAATCTATGTGTGGTACACTTGTTGGCACTTCTTCGTTTAATACTTTTATTTTTATTTTACTTTTTTTACCTCCTTTTGCAAAAATAACAGCTCTGAGTTTTCTGCTGAGACCAGTCAAGGGATCTGAGTCCATTCCATCGTACAGAGTCTTTCCAGATTTTTCAGATTCCAAGGTCCACACAGTTGTGGACTCTTCAGTTTATCCCACAGGTTTTCTGTGGGGTTTAGGGAATGGGATGGTCATGAGGTACTTCTCTGCATGGCTATCTTGTCAAACCCACCTCTGGTGTTTGCTGGCATGAAAGCTCCATTTTGGTCTCATCGGACTATAGAACATGGTCCCACTGAAAGTTCCAGTAACAACTGGCAAAGGAGGAGCTTGAGTTTGTTGGTGCTTGACAGCAGAGGCTTTTTTCTGGAACCCCCCCCCCAAAACAACGTGTTGTTATGGAGGTGGCATCTGGTTCACATTCTGACCCAGAGACCTAACTAATGTCTGCAATTCCCCATCTGTGATCCGTGGAAATTTTTTGGCCGCTGAAACCAGCCTCCTCTCTGTGCGTGGGGTCACTATAGACATATGTCATCTTTCCAGCAGATTCTTAACATCTCCAGTTATTTTATACTTCTTAATTATTGCCCTGATAGCTGCTGTCTTGTAATAATTTCCTGATTTCTGATTTCTGTTGAGCTCAACAACCTTTTGTCGCACATCATTGCTGTTTTCTCTGGTCTTTTGTATAATGATGAATGACTGAGGGAATGTGGCCTGTGTGTCACCTCATATTTATACCCCACTGAAACAGGAAGTCATAGCTGAGCACTTAAGTGCTCCTAATAGCTCAAATGAATGTTAAAATATAAAACATATGAATATGGGAATATACGTTATTTAAATAGAAAATTCTACTAAGTGCCAACTATTGTGGCACACAGATTTGTTGAAATATTTATTTTAATATAAGATTTAGTTTTTTTTTTTTTTTGAACATTGTATTTTAAATAAAGTTTAAATTAGTATTTTGGTAATATTTTCAATGAAAGATCAAAAGGATAATAATTGTTTTACAGCCTGTTTTGCACATGTTTACCAATATTTGTGGAGGGCACTATAATACGTTAAGTACACTCTTAAAAAAGATGGTTCTTTAGGTAAAGGTTCTATATGGTTCTATATATACAACCACGTAAGGGTTCTGTATAGAACTTTTTTGAAAATGGTTCTATATAGCACGAAAAAGGGTTCTGCTATTGTTACAATGTCAAGCTTATAACAATAGAAGAACCGTTTTTTGTGCCATAGAACCATATACAACACATTCTCCATCAATCTGAAGAACCATTTCACCATGCAAAGAACCATTTAAGCTTCAAATGATTCTAAATAGAACTCATGGCTCTAAATAGAACCATTCCCTTTACTGAAGAACCATCTTTTTTTATGAGTCCCCTACAGTTTCTCAATAGGTTAAATGCTATTTTGTCAAGGTTCTGTAAAGTTTTTTCAGCCTTCCCACAGTTGCTGTGAAAGAATGCACATGTGGGTGGAAATCAAAATCTAAATCAGTTCTTTAGCATGTCTGTTCTCTGCATTCAAATCAGGAGAACGTCATTAACATTCAAGCAAGCTGTATTCTGGTTGGACTTTACACCATCACATAGGAAAGCACAGGAACAGAGAAAGCATGACATAAATATGACATTAAATTCCTTTTTAACTAACCAGTGCATATGTTCCTTTTAATTGTACATGGTGGGCTTCTAAAGTAATCTCTTTCTTCTTCCTCCTCCTCCTTCTGTTCCACCACTCTCTCTTTCTTATTCACTCTGGCTGGTAAGTGTCAGGCTCAAGACATATTCATAGTTCCAGCAGGGTTGAAATGGGACTATATTCAATGATGGCAGTTACTGTTACTGGATCTCAGAACATTGTTAGGATATCAGAGTTGGCTTAGCACTGGCAAACAAAAAATATAGTAACGCCAATAGTATTTTTAATTTGCATTTTTCCAAATTTTTACTCAGACAACAGTGGAAAAATACTGCTAAAAGTTTAAGCAACTGCTTAGTGGAGGGTTTTAGAGGAACTGCTCTTGGGATTGCTTAACTTTGGCTTCTAACACTTATTAATAGGAGAAACACAGACACATACTACTGCCTAATTACAGTGACTTAACGAGCACCAATTTGCATAATGTTTATCTCATTGTTGCAATCTGCACATCAATAATGAGTTCAAAGAGTAGTCTTATGTCCTTAAAATAGAAAGATATTATCATGTAAAAGGCCTCTTGGCTGCCTGTCTGAACTTCATCATAGACCCAGACTATTTTCTGCCTCTGTACTTCTGTTATAGGTCTGTTGGTTCACAATTTCACTCACTGTAATTCTTCTTTTGCACTTATCCCTCTCTCAGTTTCTCTCCCCATTAGTCTCACTCTCTCTTTCTCTTTTTTCTCTGTGTTTACATGATAGAACAGGTAAAACCACAGCATTCTTTAAGCAGGGTGAGGCCAGTCTTGGTCACAAATGGAGAGGAGGTCTGCTGAGCCCTGGAGGTCATCCTTCTGTCCTGATAGGAAGCTGAGACAGAGAAATAGAGAGAGTGTGTCTTTAAAGTTTAGTGGTCCACTGAATTATACAACATTCTATCAGACCTGCCTGGTCTAGATGAGGTAAGCATTAAAGAAGTCTAGAAAACGCTTTTAAGCATTTTCCTAATAAGAACCCTGAATAATCACATCTCTATTCTAAGTTCTGCCTTATTGGTTAATCGTGCATTACAGTGATTTTACCATGGTGCAGAGACCAAGAGCTATCCCCTACAGCCCGAGGCCTCTGACATATTATTAAATCTTTAATACTGACTGAACACTTGGCCATGAGGTAGTTAATTTTTTTTTGGATTGTTATTTTAAAATAACAAAATTGTCATCTTGGAATAACAAGTTACTTATCTTGTTATCTTGAGATAACAAAAGTTGTTATTTTGAGATAATGAGTTAATTATCTTTTGATCTCAGTTGTTATCTTGAAATAACAAGTTACTTATCTTGATATCTCAAGATAACAATCTAGAAACTTATAGCAACAACTCATGGCCTCTCTGGACTTCCATAGTATGACTTTCTTTATGCCTTAACAACTGAATTAGGCAGTACATTTGAAAAATTGTGAAATTCCCTTTTGGCTCTTGAGCTCCTGAGCTAATGGCTGTGCATGTAGGTGGAATTTGAGGTCAAGTATTAGGTGTACTGCTCCCCTACTGACCAGTGTTAAAAATACAACCAATGGAAAGAATAAAATGTGAAATAAACAAAACATTTTAGTATTTTTTAAGATAGTAGAACAATGGAAATGTATAGTGTGGTTATTTTCTTAAAATAAGATATTTAAAAACAACATATTGTCGCTGTCTGAAAAAACCCTGTATCTCCAAAAGAGTAACTTTACAGAATGGAGGAAAAAACATTTTCAACTTATGTTGAAAGGCAAAGTAACAGGATTTTTTTCCCAAGTAAGCTGTCAGAAAATTTTAACACAATGCAAAAGATAGCTGGAGTTTTCAAATTATGAAATCATTACGCTCAAATTATTACACTCAAATTTATACACTCCTACCAGATGTGAGTTTGAACATACACCAAAGATGAAACTGATGAATAACAAACTGTCAAAAAATGCTGAAATTTGCAGGCACTCAGATTTGATCGTACACAACTTTGATGAACTAGGGCCTTCATCCTGTTCAAACCTGCCTGTCAAGCCCTTTACAAATTCCATTACAGAAACTCCAAAGCTGAAACAAACCCAGCTTGAATAGGGCTTTAGAGTGTTTCAGAGGAAAAGTGTGGTGTTTATAAAATATTGTTCTGGACTTTGGGTGGGCTTTTTTTTCCAGCACCTCTGTTTATGCAAACAAGAAAAAAACTGGAAAATGCTGTGGAGGTTTTCAAAGAACATACTGCAATTAACTTGCACAATAAAATAGGACATTCATTCTTTGATAACACACATATACCTACTTTTCTTGGTGGAGCTTGCAGGAAATTTTGCCCGTAAGAACTCCGCCATCTCTTTGTCCTCTTCTTTCTCTCTGTGTGGAGGCAGAATTATGTGCATGAGCTCAGCAAGCTACCTTAACAACAAATTCACATAGAAGCACATACAGAGGCGCAAACACACAAACTCACATATGGGTATGGTTTTTTGTGTGGGTGCATAAGAGACAGAGAGAAACAAATACTAATGATGCACTGTTGTCTTCTCCACATGTTCACATGTGTAAATGACACTTGGCCCCAAAACAATCATTTACTCTCTCTGCATCCTTCCATCAGACAAGAAGAGTTTAAATTATTGTAAGTTCTTTGACATCTCTTTCATTTTCTCTCTGTCATCTTCTGTGCCACCCACCTCTTTACTAGCCGACCGTCACATCACTCAGTGGAATTTACTCACAGTGAAGGAAAAAGAGTTGATTTACACACTCCACCCACAAGTTAACTAGTTATCAGCTTAATTAGCTACCTAACCTGCTGGTGAGCTATTAAAGCAGTAAGATTTAGCTAGCATGCTAAAATAATATCAATCCGCAAGTGCAACAACCTCACAAATTAATAGCTAGATGAGCCATCTAACATTACAACTTGGAGTTCATGTTGTGTGTATTTTTATTGCTACCTGATCCCCATGTTTGTCACTATGTGAAATTTGGGTAATGTAAAACATTACCCTAGCGATTTAGTGAAGTAGAGGCTAAGAGCTTAAAATAAGTGTAGGCTATACTTACATTTACAGCACAACAAATTTTTCCTCCATAAAAAATACATTGTAATTTAACAATATGCACTAGTATTGCACTTACACTCCCTGAACATGTTATTAGGAACACCCCCTTGCAGCTACACTTATTATGCATTTTATCAGCTCCACTTACCATATAGGTGCACTTTGTAGTTCTACAATTACAGACTGTAGTCCATCTGTTTTAAACACTGTGTCCACTCACTGTCCACTCTAATTAGACATTCCTTCCTTGTTGTTCCACCTTGTAGAAGTAAAGTCAGAGACTGTAGGTCATCTGTTGCTGCACAGGTCCTCTAGTCCTTAATCAGTGGTCACATGGTCCTTCCCACAGGACACTGTTGGCTGGACTTTTTTGTTTGGTGGACTATTCCCAGTCTAGCAGTGAAACTGAGGTGTTTAAAAACTCCAGCACCACTGCTGTGTCTGATCCACTCCTACCAGCACAACACACCACCACCGGTGTCACTGTAGTGCTGAGAGTGATCCACCACCCAAATAAAACCTGCTCTGTGGTGTTCCCGTGGGGGTCCTGAACACTTCAGAACAGAGTGAAAGGGGGCTAACATAGTATTTAGATAAACCTATGGACTACCGTCTGTAATTGTAGAACTACAAGTGCACCTATATGATAAGTGGAGCTGATAAAATGGACAAACTTTGTAGATACAAGGAGATGTTCCTAATAAAGTGCTTGGTGAGTGCATATTGCCTCCTATTGCGACTGTGATATGATAAATGAATGAATAAATTAATAATTAATTAAATACATTAATTATGTGACATGGTTAAAGTTAACAGGAAATCAAAATCGTCTTTGTCCCTGGTCATACTAACCCCCTCATCCCTAGACTGATTTATGGTTTTTTTCCACATATTTTAGTAAACTGCAATTATGATTATACAGTATTTACATGAGACAGTCACACATGCCATAAATGGTTATTTTCAGATTCTAGGTTACTAGATATGTTATAATTTGATATGTACATGCTAACAGAATTTTAACACCTTTTTTAAATGTAATTTGTTTCACATCACAAGCCCTGCTGATTTTTGAGACATGTGTACTATGTCTGTAAGTTAAATAGCTCCTGAGTTATGAAGTCTAGATGACAGCCATGCAGACAGCCTGCAAAATTCAGGATTGGGTTGTAAGTGTTAAGTATTATATATTATATCATTACACATCACTTTGCAGCAGCAGGCAGGGAATAATATTAACCAACAATATAATATTTCACCTCCCCCACTGCCCTATCATTAAGTGAAACTCAACTCAAAAAGCATAGACATCCTGCATGATATCATGTTTTGCTTGGAGATACGTAACCATGTGGAAGGAAAATGTGTCTTTATTTCTGATTCACCTACACTTTAAAGATTGTCCTTCATTGTTTTGCTGGAATATATAAATACTTCAATTCATATGTATTCATATAGTCCAGCAATACTCACATAGAACTGACATATTGTGAAGCCCTAATCTGTTAGGGGCTCCATGCTCTTTGCAAGAGACTCTTTCTCCTTCACTATATCCTACAGCCCAATACCAATACAGATTAAAATGCAGCATAAACTATCTTCTGTTTTTCAGTTCTCTTGACAACTAAAAGCTGTCAGCTGGATTCTACAAAAGTCCTATTATCCATAAATGGCAATTGTAGACCCCATTTTTCTTCTTCTTTTTTAATTTGGAATAGGGCCAACTACTTAGCGAATATGCTCATAATCGAAGAAAGCACATTGTCCAAAATGCACAATTGTTTTATTGCAAACATTAACTGTTTGGTTTGCTCTTTCAGAAAGTCTCCCTTTCTGTCAAGGATGAAAACTGGGCCAAAGTTTTTAAGGCCCTACAAAAATATAATGGGAACTGCTCTGCAATCATAGGTTCTACTATAACTAAGGCACGAGGAATCAGTTTGTGGAAGAAAGTTGTTGTTGCAAGAGGACAGCTGCTGACTGCAGATGATTTGCTAGCTAATGAGAATGGGTATAGCGCCCATGAACATGGAGCACAAATATTGTGGTGAAGACTTTTTGATTAATATAGGATTTGAACTTGCACTTGGCTTCCCTAGTGATTTCAGAAGGTCTGGTGTTTGTCAAGTAATGAGAGTGTTCTGGTGGATCCTTAGAAATGCCTGTTCCAAGCAAGCACTGAATTGGACACCGCAATTGCAGAGCACGCTCCTGTGGTTTGCAAGTGGAGTTCGAACACATTGAAGTCTTAGGCCATCACCTTAAGTTCTTTGCCACCTCCTCTAACTGTGGCAAGTACTTTGCTAGCTGTCTTACACATTTAGCTGGTGTTCACACTGCAAGTAGGGTGCTATCATGAGGCTCTATTTAAAAAGCTTTCTTAACAAGAATGTGAAGGAGGGAACAATGAAGGAAGAGCACAGATGCTGAGCACAATGCCATTGCCATTTATTATGGCTTTAAGATATGCCCTTTTGGTGACCAGAACACAATAGAACACCTTAACTTCTAAGCCACCTCATCCATAGTAGAGACTGGAGATCATGAAGAAAAATTGGCAGCACATGCACTACATGATGGCACATGCACTGTTGGTATTTATTCAACACATACACTCTCAAAGGTGCATGAGCAACAACTGATTTTTACATTTTTTACCCTTTGTCCATCAACACAAAACATGTCTGTATAATTCACCATGACCAGCAAACTCCATTTAGAGTTTGCCAGCATTACCACACATTGAAATGGCTTCACTTTCTAGTGATGAGGTAGGTTTGTTAAGGGTACTTCCTTACTTTGTTATTTAGATATGAATGATAAAAATATGGGATTATGCTAACGTTGCTTGAGAGGAGAACAAAATACGCAATATAGCCTACATCTCAGTGGAGCATGTGGTCTCTGTTAATGGCTAAAACAACAAGATACCACAGCTATGGCCTAATTTATCTTAATTAACAGAGACCACAGCTATGGCCTAATTTATCTTATAGAATGGTTCTGCTTGCTTTCAGGGACCTACCAAAAAAATATGAGCAGCAAAAGAGGGCTATAGGCTACAATACCACTCTCTCCACAGCAAAATACTGTTTTGTTCTACCTGGTAAATTATGGTGACATACCATTACATTTCACTTTAGACATTACTTTTTATTAATCATGCTATCCAAGTACTCTCCACATACTTTTTTGTATAGCAGCACAGTTTGGCCAGAGCGAGTCTCAAATTTCCATATCTCTTTTGTCCAGGAAACAGGGAAGTTACAAGCCTAAGTCAAAAATGTCTTTGCTGTCCTGTTTTTCTTTGTGTTGACCTGCAATGATGCAAATATCACCTCTACAGAAGCATTTAAGGTGGAACGGAATTACATAAATATCTACCAAAGCATTACTCTGTATATATATATATACATATATATATATATATATATATATATATATATATATATATATATATATATATATATGTATAAGATGTACCTTTTTGGACCGAGTGTGTTGTTGATGATCCTCTCTGACAGTTGGTTATGGCCCATTGAACTCATTTAAATCTGTGTGAAGGAGGGGGCATGGTGCAGTGTCAAACGCAGGACGGTAAGGCAGTAATGCCGAACGAGTGTGCTGAGTAGCTGATAAGGTTCAAATGTGTCTTGTTTCTGCCAGCCTACTTACAGACATGTCTTTTCTCAGTAGGTGGCAGAGCCCAGAGAGAGAAGGAGACCAGTGGAGACTCAAGTAAGAAAAAAAAGACTGAAAAGTCCCTGCGAATGTTCTCTTTAATTCTGTATGCTGTAAAAGTAAAAAATAAATAAATAAAATCTATAAATATTCTATAAATAGTCTTTGTTGGATCAAGTTTTTTACATGTCAAATAAATGCAACAGAATTGAGAAATCAAATGATGTCTTTGTCACTTGAAGATATCCGGTTTGCAAACAACACAATTGTTTTGTGTGTACGGTTTTAAAAAAGGGTGTCTACATATTTCGACATTTCTGTATCGCACTGCTTGTGCTTCCCAGCTGCAGTATAGTTAATAAGCTGATGATTACAGGCATTTTTCCTCATTTGAATTTTGTTCAAAATATTGTGAGCATAGTGAATTGCAAACCTAGTATCATAAAATCAAGTAGAATAGTTGGTTGAGTGTATCATTACACCCCTAGTGGATCCTAAAAATTGCGATGGGATTTAAGCCCAAGAACCAAGGTCGCCTTTCATTAGCCTTTCAGTTGATTCCTTTTTGACAAAAAAAGGGGATTCAAACCCACATGGCAGAGCAGTCTAGCACCTTCACAACTTAGTACTTCGATGTAAGCTTTCATCAATCTCTCACAGAGGACATTTTCTTTATTATCATACCTATTTGCAGATGGTAGGTGCAGGTTATCCACTTGTTATACACTTCTGTGTGTCCTCATTTGGTAGAAGGTTACAAAAGTGTGGAGTAAACAGTGAACAGACCATTTAGTCTATGAAGCGTGAAGCAATGTCTAGCAACATAAGCAAAACAATTTGCTTTATCTTTTTTATCTAGACAGAACACACTGCCTTCACAGTCAGATCTGCCTATTAGTTCTAAGTAATTCCCCTGTAGCGTTTGTACCTCTTCAAAGTTTGGGTTGACGTACTAGCTCAAATGAGCTCAATGGGTTTCACTCTCATGACTCACATAACCAAAACAATTTGCCACGTTTATTGAACTGACGAAACTAGCCTGCTGCTGCAGAGCGCCACAGTTGGGTGTAGTCTATTCTCTCTAGATTGAACTAATCAATGGTTTCAAACACTCGCATGACAACTTAGGTCTTTGACTGCAGGGATCCTGGCATGCTCTTCACTGAGATCTCATAAGATAAGGTCTTGCTACTTAAATGTCCTTTTACACTTTAATATGCACTTATTTGCTTCTCACTTCTTTTTTTTTTCATTTTTCTTTAACAAGTTTGCGCACTTAACATTTTCATTCATTGCTAGCCTATTTTGTCCTCTAGAAAAGCAAAATGTATTATTTGTCCTCAATGTCTATGCTTGAATTTATTTAACTATTTAATAACATCAAGCTACAGAACTCGGAAATATTCCCCAAAAATGATCACTTGCACTTAATTAGCTTTTTGAAAATTAAAGAAATGAAAGGTGGTCTCTGACTTTTGGACAGTGCTCTATGTCTTTTAGATAATAAAACTTGCCAGATTACTTTGTAAGTTACTCTGAATAAATGGTTAAATTGTCACTGTCACATTTAAACCTCATAACTTCAGATTTTGCGTTAATTTGTTGACACCATTTGTGAAGTGCTAGCTGGCCTCTGCTGCATGTAAATATTTAATGACGAATGGACCAATAAAAATCTCTTTATACCAACATGAGTGTTTTTGCTTTTCCAATAAGGCCTCTATTTTGTATATGCAAGGTTTATGTACAACAGAAGCACATTATTAGAAGGAACATTTCAACGTGAACATTTAATGAAACCTCATACAAATCCTTATAAAATAGGTAAGTTGGCAAAAAAAAGTTCACATAGACACAGATGCACAAGTTAACATTGTTTCTTTATCCTATTAAAGGTGCAGTGTGTAACATTTTGGGGGAACCTATTAGCAAAAAATGGAACATAGTACACAAAAACATGTTTTCATTAGTGTATAATCACCTGTAACTATGAATTGTTTTGTTTTCGTTAGCTTAGAACGAGCACTTCATATCTACATGTGGAGTGGTTGCTCTACCAACATGTTGCACTGCCATGTGTCTACAGTAGCCCAGAACAGACAAACCAAACACTGGTTCTAGATCAGGGGTCAGCAACCCAAATATGAATAAGAGCCATTTTGACCTTCCAACAAAAATCAAACGACCTGGGAGCCACAACAGTTTATGGCCATTTTATTGATGTAACATTTTACCATCATGGCTGAAAATATGTCTTTATATGTGCTAGCTAATGTCCTGGTATAGACTAAAAACATAATATCATCATTTATAGCCACCTTTCTCACATCTCCAGCAGGAAACCTTTCCTCAGAAGTGGTATAGTTTTTTGTAAAATTTTTCTTATTGTCCGATTTTTTACGAAGCTGAAGTCTTCTTATTCAACAAATTCTTGTTTGAATTTTCCCATTCCACCTGAACGAATGAGTAGCTGACTTCAGCTTTGTGATTTTTAGTGTTTGACAGTTTCTCGTTGCAGATTAAACGTATCAGGAAACCAGCTGAGTGCTTATAAATGGAAATAAGTCCATTCGTCTCCAGATTATTGATGTTTGTCTTAAATCTTTCTCTTTGCCTTTTCCTTAGCTACTAGCTAGGTCAGATTCTTGTCTGCGTTGCTATGGTGAACAGCAGTCTGCGTGCTTCTTCAGGGTTAAAGGTTGGTGAATTAGCAGATATGCATTAACTTCAGTGTCTAAGAACATTTATTGTTAAAACTGTGTTAGAATGATCAGCAGAGCTTTATTTTACTGCAAAAGAGGATTATTTTATTTTTACCTTAAAATTTAATTCTGCTTTGGAGCCTCAACAGGGCAGTAAAAGCATCGCATGCAGCTTTGGAAATGTTGCCAACCCCTTCCCTAGAGAGTACCTTTTGTGGTTTTACGTTGAAGCGGAGGATCATGCTTATTACTGAGCACAAGAAAAAGCAGGGGAAGATGAATCCTCATCGTCAAAGAAGCAAAAACATGAAGAAGCAAAACGAAATCGGGACAGACGATAGCAGAAAACCTGACAGCCACCGTAGGTTCTACTACATGCTTGGAAAGGGAAGGGTGAGGGTGGGGTATTCAGTCGGTTGCAATCTGCAACCTCACTGCTAGATGCTACTTAATATTACATACTGCTCCTTTAAGTTGCCATTTCAGAGACTGAAGTTTACTTTACGACAGCACTGAAAGGTAAATGAAGATGCAAATTATCAGGAAGCTGACTTATTTCTTTGGAGCGTTTCATAGGAAGAGATAACAATGTAGGCCTAATGTAGCCTCACACCTCTGCAAAGAAGCTGCACTCACCTACAGCCATGCAATATTCTGTCTACTTCATTCACTCCCTCTCTCTAACTCTCTCTCCTCTGCCCTTCCTCACCTGTAAATCAATCGGCCTTATTTTTCCAGACCCCAAGCCACAGTGGTGCTGACAGCACAGGTGACGTAAAGAGTGGAGAAAGATGAATGTGTGTGTGAGTGTGGTGGACACAGCGAGCCGATATGTTATTGGCACAGAGTGGAGAGTAATTGGATTGCGATGTCACGGTCAAGAGGGTGGGCATGAATGTCACACTTTTGGCTCCAAGCACGTCTCTCCATTCACCTTCTGTGCTAAAGTCAGGTACGCTATAGCTATCTAAAGGCCCAGACCACCAACTCGACCTCGACAGCTTGTTTGTGCTGAGACAAACAAGCTGAGCTCTCTTACGCAAGCACCAACCTCAGCCTCTCGAACTCCACATCGTCCACCAGAAAGTCCCGAGTTTCCACTAGCTTATGGATCTGCTGCAGTAGCTCCTCCTCTCTCTGCCTGTCCTCATTGGACTTGTCCTTATCTGTCAAAGCAGAAATTAGGTCAGACACAAGACACGTACGTTGAATTTATACTATGCAAGTATTGTAATAATACTCTTTTTTTGTTTTTATGTATTGGTTGCAGATTAGAAACATTAAATTGCCCCTAGGTGTAAGAGTGTGTGTGAATGTATGTCTGTCTGTCTGTCTGCCCTGCGATCGAATGGGCAGACAGAAAGACAGACATATCCTGCCTCCCGCCCAATGACTGCTGGGATAGGCTCCAGCTCCCCGCTGTGACCCAGAAGGATAAGCGGTTTCAGAAATGTGTGTTTTGGTTGCAAAAGGGTTCTATATAGCACCAAAAAGAGTTCTGCTATTGTTATGATGTTAAGCTTCTAACCATAGGAGAATGCTTTTGGTGCTATACAGAACCCTTTTAAATAGGTTTTATATAGAGCCACATTCAGCACAGTCTCCATCAGTGTGAAGAACCGTTTCATGATGCAAAGAATTCTTTAATCATGTAAAGGGTTATTTGAGTGTTCATGGTTCTGTATAGAACCATTTTCTTCACTAAAGAACCCTTGAAGAACCATCTTTATTAAGTGTGTAGACACGTGACTGACTGTGAATTCAAGGGTAACAAAACCATTAAGAGTCTGTCAGAAATGGAGCCAGAGCTCTTTATTTAAGGAGTCACTGTTAAACTGCAACATATGATAATATCTATTACATGCCTCAAATAAATGTCTTTTACAAGCTTTAAATGTCTATACTAATCTAGAATAGCTAAAAATGTTCATGTGCACAAATGTTATCTTAAAAATAATGCACTACTAGAAGTCCTATAGGCATGCTAGCAGAATTAGCATCATCATAGAGGAGTTTTGATATTTATGGCCTGAGGCCTGAAGGCATAGCTCTGTAACGTAAAAATCCCATTCACTACTTAGGCCCTATATTGAGTTATGCTACACTACTGAGCTGTTGTTCAGATAACTGACACTAGGCTGGCTGGAAATGGCAACATATTTGCTACCATGCTAATGTTAGCTCAATTTAGTCAAGCTATTCCTTTAATTAATTTGGCAGTAAATGCTTTAAATACATTAAAATACAGGACTTATGTACACAGCTATTACTGTGCTCACAAATGATTCCTATGGAATTCAATTGTTCAGCCTTCCTCTGAAGCTCTTACAGCTCCTGAGGGCTTTTCATGAGTATAATAGTAGTGGTGTACAATGGACCTGTGAGTTTATTCAGCTTCAAGGCAACATTGTAGGCACTTTAAGATCAGATTCATTTTTGTATTTTCATGCTGTAATTGCAGGATTGTTCATGTTGTTTAAGAATGTATGACACCATGTTTTGCTGGAGATAACTAGACTTTTGATTGGCCATTTTAAAGCCTTTCTTTACAATATGTGTATTTAAGAGATATTTGAACGGAACTGAATGGAACATTATCTTACATGTATTTCAAAAACCTGTACCTTTAATACTCAACATGTTAACACGATTATATTTTTTATTTTATTTTGTAAGTTATATGACTTCAGTTGATGACAGGAGCTACCTGGTTTAAGCATAAAACTGTATGCGGTGAGGCCAGTCTGTCTGGCTGTAGTTCAGTGAATAAATGGAGCTCAGCCTGATGCATGACTTTTGTCTTGAGACAGAAATCACTGCTATTCCCCAGAGATTTTGCTGGCTTATGTACATGGGGCCAGGTTCTGTATGTGCACTGGGCTAATGAGATGGTAGCTAGAAAGAAAAACATGTTCAAACTACGCTTTTTTGTGTCTAATCTCCTAGGAAACCAAATACTTTAAAGTCAAATTGGTAAGTAGCAGAGCTACATATCTAAGAGAGGTCAGCTAACACAGAAACACAAGAACGTAAGAATACATTTAAGAACGTAAAATACATTTAGGAATCAATATTCAACAGTTCTTGATTATTTCATGCAAAAACTCACAGTAGATACAAACTATACTGAACACTTAAGTAGTGCTCCAGCATCTGTATGAATATCTGCCACTCTTTAACTACCAGTGGCTGGGAGGCCAAATTAAAGCAGTAATACTACAGCAAAATACTGCAGCTGCACTGATGTTAAATTCTGTTCTTAAGGGCCTACCTGGGATCGAGACCAGTTTCTGGAGTTCTTTTTTAAGCCTGGTGATCTCTTTACATAGTTGAATATCATCCATCCTGGAAAAGGAAAATGAATAACAAACAGACAGAAAGACAGAAGAAGAGAAGGGTTATCCTGTTTCTGTGAACCTGAATCTGGATTGGTATTATTTTTACAGCCGTTTTCTCTTATATGACAGCAGCATTGAACTTGTTGTATCATACTGCATTTGTCTGCAGTTTTTTTCTGAGAAAAGATGATTTTCCCAAGCTGTAACTTATTATAAGCTTATTATAAAATAAAGACAAAAACTATCAGGAAACCTTTCCTTTAGAAATAAAGCTTTTTATTGCCTTGGGCACCACACTTATTTGTGCAGTAAATGAACAGACATTTAGTTCTTTGTATTATTGAGGTGACTCCCAAGACACAGCTGACTACAGGGACTTACAAACTAGCTAAGCTATTAATAGGTTATAGAACCTATTAATATAGAAGTGTGTAGCAAAACTTTGGCCCCACATGGGTCCTGGCCATGTAAGGAGTTAAAATGGAAAAATCTCATTTGCAAGACCTTCAGTCCAAGAGGAAAGAACAGTCTGAGCCTGCTTTCTGGGTGGAAAGTTCTACTTTCCTGTTGACGTGCAGTGGTATTAGCCAATGGTGAGTCTCCACGTAGACACACAGAACTAGTCAGTCAGTGCTCTCCTCAAGCTGCCTTACCATGCTGTGAGAGCCGTAGCTTGAAAAGACACAGTGGCCAGCTTCACAGCAGCATTGCATACATGATACTAACAATAATATTACATCAAATATACAGTCGTATGCAAAGGTTTGAATGCCCCTGGTGAAATTATGTTTTGTAACAACAAGTTAACACATCCACAACTTATATATGGCTTTTTCAGATTTTAATGCACAATTTCTATTTATTAGCCACGTTTAAATACCCTTTCTTACATTATTCCTGTATTTTATTTTTTTCCCTTAAGGTCCACATACAACATTTGCGTGGTGTTAAAACAGTCACAATTAATTTTTACATGACCATTTTCTAACCTCTCACTATCCCTAAGAATTAAACAGGCTGTTTCTGTTACTGTGTGCTTGAGGCTGGTATATGTAATTGAGCTCTGTTCTGATTGGCTGCTCTGTATTGTGCCTCATTCGAAAAACAGCTTGGGCAAAACACTCTTTATAAATTCAGCATGAATGGGCGGAGCTAAACTGCTGTAAGCAGACATACGTTTGCATTTCATATATGGACTCCTCCATGTTTAGGCAAGGACTAAACATGTAGAAGCAGTGTTTAGCTACTGTGCTATTCTTAAAACAAAACAGTTCCATTTAAATAGAGAACATTAGAAGAGCCCCGACACTGGACACTTTAAAATTCAGGCTGAATAGATTCCTATTAGAACAGCTTTCAGCTCTGTTTAAACACTGTTAGCTCTACTGCACTTCTCTCCTGTCTTAATTTCATTTTTAATTTGATTTTTGATTTAATGTTTAATTTCTTCTTGTTTAAATGTATTGTTTATAATCATGTTTCATCTTTGTATTTTCTTATTTGTAAAGCACTTTGGATGACTGCAGTGTATGAAAGGTGCTATATATAATAAACTTGCCTTGCCTTTTCTTGTACAGACTGCAGAGTGAAAAGTAAATTTTGACAATTTAATGTTTTATTTGAAAAAAAAGGGAAATTCAATTTTCATATTGGAAAAAGTACTACATACATGATCCATACAATGAATGGTATGAAGCTCACTCCTAGCTAGACTGAGCTGCTAGAACTACAAATCCTCACCATGATCTTGCCATCTCATTCAAGAACTCTCTGAGTGTTCTGTCTGAAGATGCAAGAAGACTTGGTGTGATTGTGGATGGCCAGTTATCGTTCTCAGCTCATATAGCGAACCTGACTCAGTCATGCAGGTTTCTCCTGTACAACATCTGGAGGATTCGACCCTTTCTCACTTAAGAGGCCACCTAGGTGTTAGTTCAGTCTCTTGTCATCTCAAGGATTGACTACTCAACTTTGGCTGGTCTTCCTATGCAGGCCATCAAGCCCCTGCAACTCATCCAGAATGCAGCAGCACGGCTCGCCTTCGATCTTACTAAGTTCAGTCACATCAATCCACTGCTGCACTCCCTTCACTGGCTTCCTGTAGCTGCACGCATCAGATTTAAAACCCTGATGCTTGCCTACAAAGCCAAAAACAGACCAGCCTGTACCTGTGCCTGTACAACTGTACCTCGAGCCCTTCGAGCTTCAGGTACAGCTCGGCTTGACCCGCCATCCTTCAACATGCATAGAACAAGCATCAAAGCTCTTCTCTGTCCTGGCACCCAGGTGGTGGAACAAACTACCACTGGCTGACAGAACAGCAGACTCCCTCGTGGTTTTCAAACGCAGAATGAAGACACATCTCTTTTTACAGCACTTAAGTGAGCACTGACACAGTGTATTTATTGTAATGTATTGTACTGCAATTATTGAAAAGTATTGCACTATACTGTGTTTAATTGTTACTTTTTCTTTAGGTATCAACACGGGCTTTCGTTTCTAGCAATATCTGAGCTCAGGAGTAGCTTTTACTCTAACCTATTCGTAACTAGCGAAGATACTTTCTCTGAGTAGACAACAAAGCACTCTTGTAAGTCGCTCTGGATAAGAGTGTCTGCTAAATTCTGTAAATGCAAACTGTAAATATTACTTTGTATATACACAATCATATGCAAAAGTTTAAATACCTCAGTCAAATTACATGTTTTGTTGATTTTCTAAATAAAAGTAAGTTAACACATCCTCAACACAGAACACATTTAAACATTTCATTTTTTCAGCAAATTTTAGTGAATAATTTATACTTATTTGCCATGTTTAAAAGCCCCATATCCTAATTTTTTCTTGTATGTACTTGTTTCTCTTGAGGTCAATATATAATGTTCGCTCTATATGTATAGTTCTTTGTCTAAATATCATCACTCAATATTAAAACATTAATGGAAGTTAATAGAACATGGTCACATTCCTTATTATTATTAAGTAACTTTGGACAATTTCTACTGGTCCATTGTTTTGGTTCTGACACTAACAAAAACTACATAATTTGTGGTAAATTGCTTTAGTGCATCATAGTTTTAATGTAGTTAACACAAGCTGCCAAAGTGTAAGCTATACATCTAACCATCTTAGAAAATGCTTTGCTGTGCCATATCTTCTTAACTTGTGTTTATAACTTGGAGCCGTCTGATGTCACATTTTTGTGAACACATCTGCTTCCTGTTATCTTTTACTTTCATTTTATCAAAGACAAACAAGAACACAGTGGGAAATGCTTCATTTCAAAGCTCCATGAAGCTATAAGAGCTTTGGTGTAAATGATGACCATTATGAAAGTTGTATGTTACTCTGCAAGCTGATCTGAGTGGAGGCTCAGGGTCTATTTGCTAAAATAACTCTAACCCCCCTATGCCCTCATTTCAATGATGACTCAGTGTGAGTCTGAGTGTCTGCCTGTTTTCATAGCAGCTCTCACATTCAGCCTGATCATTTCAGTCAGCGATGAGCAAACACACGTCTTTCTCTCTGCCTCTATCACACATGCACGCGTATTTGCACGCTATACATTCTTCTCTAATTATGGGCTATTTTATGTCCAATAAGTGAGAGGAGCACAGAAATGTTGTATTATTTTTACTATCGATGTTCGATAGATGTTGAGAATCTACACTGCGAACAGTATCATCTTGGCAAGTGAGGGCATCTTATATTTAGTCAATATTTCTTATAATGAAATTGTAAGAGTTTTACACAGTTATTCAAGCTATTTCTAAAAACACTTACTTATTTTAAGTAATTTCACCAAATGAATTGTTCTAATTGGACGGTGTATCAAATTGCTTGTTTTAAGAAGTAATGCTTCAAGGAAGTAAATTTATCTGCAATAGCAGTAATGTCATTTCACCTTTGTATAAGCAAAATGGCTAGAAATGGATTAAATAATGTTGTAAAACTCTTATAATAATCTTGTAATGAGAGGTTTCAAATATAAATTAAATATATAAAATATAAATATATGACAATCAGTGTGTACCATTAAGAACTGTCACAACGGAAACACTTTTTTTGTTTTCATGAAAAATATTATTTTATTTGTGTACAATCGTTCAAAGCTTTACTGTACAGGGTAGCATTTTTGAGTTCTGCTCAAAATTATCTAAACTTGTCACTACTGAAACAGTCACTACTGAAACATTTGGCAAAGTTTCAGTAGAGTTAACATTGTCTTGTTGGTAACAAGATGGAATATGTTTGAACAAAATAAACATAGTTAAAGTCATTCAAAGCAAAAGCATTTTAGTCTAAAGTCCAAGTCAGTGTGTGGGGTCCTGCACACTGCCCTGCACACCCAATACAATTCTATGCTTCAGTGAGGTCTTATTAATGAGCTCATTAGTTAAGTTAGTCAGATATGTTGAATGCAGTGAAAACACTGAAATGTGACTCCAGGACGAGGCCTAGGACACACTGCAATATATAATGACACTCCTCTAGGCCTAAATGTAACCTTAAGCATAAAGAATGCTTTGGCCTTTCAGGTTTAATAAATAAGATATGTAGCTACTCTAAAAACCTTATACCAATTCAAGACCATTTTGTTGGTCTAGTAACTGAACCTGAAAAATTCATTAATGTGAAAACACACATGCACGCATACAGTTATGTAACGTAATGATACAAACAAATGCATGCCAGTCCCTGTGACTCAGTTGCTTCAGATGTGCTGGTTCCCATCGGAAGCTATTAGCACAAATAGCTGAAGAGGAATTACAGGTCCTCAGCTGTGTAATTATCAGCCTCTTTTTGTCCACCAACTAAGTCTTGCCAATGTCACTTTTTCTGCAGCAGAAGCCATTTTCCTATTCAACATATTCACTTAAAGCCAGTGGTACACCTAGACCTCGAAGACTCTTCCTTTCATTTGGCTTTCAACTCAGATTAAGAGCTCTGGATTCAGGGGAGTGAATTAGCTAAAGGATATCAAAGAGGTTGATCTGCTTAGGTTAATTATTCATTCACCTGAAGCCATTTCACTCAAAAAGGCCAAAAAGAAGAGAAAAGGAGTAACATAATGTATTCCTGTCACATCTGCAGAAATGAAAGGGTGAGCTGATTTGTGCCTGGGCTGAAAAATGTTTATGTGTGTGTGTGTGTGTGGGGGGGGGGAAGTGAGTGCCGGTGTAGAGCTTCAGGCAGGCTCAGCTCAGTGTCACTGTGTTAGTTGAAGTGCTAGAGACTGAGGTTCTAAGACACACAACTCACACTGTAAAAATTACTCAGTAAATTTACAGTAACTTACTGGCAGCAGCCAGATAGTTTCTGTAATCACCAAGTACTGAAATGTACCTCTGAAATTAAGAAGGAAAAAACTTTTAATGTAATTTTAATGTAAGTCAATGGAACCAGACTTTTTTCCAAGTAATTTTGGGCCATTTCTTTCGGTCCATTCATCTTCAAATTTACATACAATATAAAGGGAAACAGGCATTTTCAAATTATGTCAAAAACTGAAAGACATATATATATTTGGGAAAGTGAATACATACCATCGTTATCTTGCCGCTAACGTGACACTGTTAATCTCATAACGACTGAATCTCATAGCTTGCTGAAATTAGCATAGCAGTGGTAAATCATACTTACAAAGAAAAAGGGTACTTTCAAAGTGAAACTGTCTGATTCATAGATATTAATGTAGCTCAGCCAGCTTTTTTAAATTAATGCAATAGAACACTGAAAAGCAACATTAATTTGCAGTGGAGACGACCCTGAAAAACACTTTTGCCATTTAGTTTTACAGCAAAGATGATGATTCTGTATTTCTGGTGTGTTGATACAACCTTGTTACAATAATATACAGATAAAGGAGAAATACTCTCTCAACCCCACCCCCTCTCTCTTTCTCTGGGTCAGACTGTTCTTCAGATCTGTGTTGATTACCCCATCATGCTTTGTGAAACCCTGTATTTCCACCTTTTGCCACTTCACAACAAGCCCCATTATGGCTCTGATGTGCTCTGTTTACACCCATTAGCTCCTGTTCAGCCTCTTTTCTCTGTACTTAGTCCAATACTGTTGGAGGACCACAGCACATAGACTGCCTCTTCAGTGACGCAAAACCAGTGAAGCACCAAACTGTTTTTTTTTTTCAAACCTTTTAATGACACTGTCATAAAAAAAGAGCACTGTGAGGTAGATTTTTGTCCCCCATGGTACAAACAATGTAAGGCACAGCATGGTCCTAAGTCCAATTGTGCACCTTAAAAGGGTTTTAAAGTGCAATAGCTTCACTTTCCCAGAGTACAGGGCCAGACTTCTACCTTTTCTTATCTCAGCTTTTTGAAATAGAAAAATACAATAAAAAGCCTGGAGTTAACAACTGCTGCACACCGAACAGACATGTATGAAATTGATCAATTATTATTCTAATTTAGACCGTATAATTTAGACCGTATAAATGTATTCATTTATGATGTGTGGTAGATAAAACATGTCATAATTAAAAAATGAATGGAATTATTAAACAAAATTTTGACATTTCATTTGAAATGATGTGTTCAGCAGGAATGCCAGTGCTATCACAATAAGAGGCCCATGTAATTCTACTGTTAAATGAACGTTTACTTGATTTCATTGTCTAAACACTCTCTGTGTCTGTGCTCCTACCAAGAATAGTAATAATAGTAAGGATTTTATTATATTATTACATATTTTATATTAGTAAACTTTGACTAAAGCCCTATTCAAGCTGGATGAGTTTTACCAGAGGGTGTCCAGTAATATAATTTGTGCCTGATTTGATTGACTGATTTGTACAGGATAACAGATCTGTGTAATTTACCCAAATTACGTTTACGTCAGCATTACACAACAAGTGCAACACTTCAGAACAATAACAACACTTTGTGCGGCAAATATGGTGCAAAAAAAAACACCAGACGAGGGAGGAGACTTTACCTCTCGTTTCAATGTGAGATGATGCCCATTTGAAATGACAGGGTTCTATATAGCACCAAAAAGCGTTCTTCTATTGTTATGATGTCAAGCTTGTAATAATAGAAGAACCTTTTTTGGTGCTATATAGAATATTTTTCAACAAGGTTCCTTATAGAAACATATACAACACATTCTCCATCAGTCTGAAGAACCATTTCACCATGCAAAACATTCAATCATGTTCTTTGAGTGTTCATGATTTTATATAGAGCTATTGTATTTAGTAAAAAACCATTTTTTTTAAATTCATGCCTGAAAAAAAAAAATGGGACATCTACATGTTTTCAACCGGACCCCCTTGGAGAAGACCACCTGTTCTATGGCATCGTGAAAAGGCAAAATAACTTTTTGGCAAAAATGCAGGCTGTCTGGTGTTCCGTTATACTGGATTAGGAAGCATTGTCATTGGTGAGATAATGCAGGTGGATTTTGGTCTGTATAGTCTCTTTCTCGCTTGACATTTTAAGAATTCAAAGTATGACTCACCTGTTTGAATCATCATCCTTTTAGCTTGAATGTTTTTACCTTAGCATCTGTTAATGCAGCTTATAAAGAAAACCTTAAATGTTTCCTCCTTAAATTTACATTTGGCCCATTCCTCAAGAAACGTTCACACAATGTGCAGCTTTTCTATGGGTTGAAATAATATAAGCCCACAAAAATGGAGCTACAAGCTTTTCCTATGACAGCACCTATAGACTGGCTGATTTTTGATTTTTCATTTTGATGTCATTGTAGGCCTACGACACATTGGTGAGGACAGTGCTTTCAGCAGCTTGCAAAAAGAGCCCCCTCAGTCAGATCAGACACACTGACACATTTCATCAGTCCTGAGATCAGGTGACACACAAACACTCATTGCAGGGGAAAAAATAGCTCACATGTATCTCAGCTCAGACTCTCTCCGCACCAGCACATCCCGTATCCTCTCAATTTTGAACAGCTCCCCTTCAATGTCGTCCACAGTGATGGTCGAGTCGGCCATGGAAACAATGTCCTCCTCATCTGCGAGGGGGGGAAGGAAAGAATAAACAAGGTTACTGAGGCCAAGCCACTTGACAACATAACTATGTAAAGACCTGCAAAAAAAATTTGAATCATCTGCGTATCAGGACAGATTTCAAGGGGAATCTTTTGGACCATGTCATATGTCTTTATGTATTAACGCCACATGCACAGAGTCAAAAAGAAGGTCCAGCTCGATGTTTAGGTCTCAAAATCAAAATCAACAAGACAGAGTTCAAAGATGAACCTATGATACAAATGTTTTGTGCATAATTACACATTTTGACCGGCACCCAAAACTTACATAGTGCAGTTTTAAATAGGAATTTGAATGATTTCCCTGCAGAATTAAAACTTTCACATAAGTTCTGAGGAATTAAATGGTGAAGATGTAAATAAAGTCATTAAGAGTAATTTGATGTGAAGTCAAACTTACCAACTGAGAATTGTTCGCAGTGGTGTTAGTGAAGGGATAAAGATTATCCATACAGTGTTGGTGATAGGAACCAGATGCCTGAAGCATGTAATATCTTTAAAGACTACCTAACAGAAAGTTATTAGATAAAACTATTACAAATATTACAAAAAAGATGCTTTACATTGTTTTACAGTAATTCTGAGACTTGTGAAGAGGTATATGCAGGGTATTGTAAGACTATTTTACCCTTATCAACATTACACGTTATAGACATTATAATTACCCCGGTTCCTATCACTACCACTGTAACAAAATGTGAGTCTACAATGGACCATTTCACATCAAACCACTCTGACTGGCTTTGTTTACATCTCAGCAACTAAACTTTGCAGACTTTATCTATCTATCTATCTTAGATATTGATCCATCAGTTTCAGATTGGAAGCATGTGAAATTGCACAGTGCTAATATATTACAATCTTATACATTCATATGCAAAACATTGAATTCTAATGGTAGTTTATATAAAAGCCTACAAAACCAGTTGTTAGTTCAAGTTATTCACTTTTCCTGGATGAACACTGGTTATATTACGTTGAGTTTAAGGAGGAGAAAAAAAATGAACATCCAGTATTTTATTTAGGAATTCAGTTTAAGAAATTTCAGAAAATTTCAGCTTTTTTCAAATGGCTGCTTGAGTGTTCATGGTTCTACATAAAATCATTGCCTTTACTAAAGAACTACTGAAGAACCATTCTTAAGAGTCCAGGTCTTCCATATCATGAGTCAATGAACCTGACAGCGCGGTCACTGCTTCTCTGTGCTCTATGAGTCAGTCCATTGGTGTAGACCAGTGATATTCCAACAACAGCCTGGCCATCCTCCTTAATCCATCTCCACGGAAACAAGCAGGAAATTAGCATTGGTTCCGTTGCACACGTTCACTCCCGCGATAATTGAACACGGTGGGTGTATGATGCAAGCTTCACTGAATGAACGTCTATAGCAGCTTAGTCTGCTGTGAAGATCAAACAAGGTACATATTCTTATGTCATTAAAGGAATACTCCAGCTTTTATCAACCTAATCTCTATCAGCTGTATCTGTAGCATATCGTTGCTGTCCAAAAAAAAGTAGCTCTGGTTTTGTTGATTTTTATTTTTCTGCATCTTTTGATCACAGCAGCTGTCCTTTACATTGCGTGAAAACTTCATGATGAATGGACCAACAGAAACGCTACAAAAACACTTGTAATAAAACCTCTTTACATTAACTTACATTAAAAAGAAAGCATGTTTTTGCCCTCTCATGTAAATGTACTATTCTGGAGATGCATGTTTTACTTTGGATAGCAACGATATGATAGGTTGCTATGGATGATAAAGTGGACACATTTCACTTTACTTAGGCCTAGTTAAAGAATAAAAAATCTGTTGACTCGAAGCACACTTATAATAGAAGCCAAAGGGCGTGTGCTGTAGTTTTGCCCAATGACTTCTATTAGAGGTATGTTTGGAGTTTCGTTTTTTTTCTACTTTGCCTTGAAATCATTTTTCAACTACAGATGTGGTTAGTAGGTACTAATTTGAAAACACTGAAGTATTCAGTATTTCTATTCTGGAAACGTCATCGTGCCTTACTATGTTTAAACTAAGTACAGAGTGATTCAAAAAGATTCATCTGAATTCAAAGGATAATTTTTTTACAACTGTGAGGCACCTAGGAACCAATCACACACCAATTGAAAGAGGGGGTCATAGAGTTTCTGACTGTCAGCAGAAGATGGCTCCTTTCAGTCTGTGAGGAGATGTCGACCCCTAAGCAGAAAGCGCTTTGCGTTCTCCACTTCAATAAGAGTGAATCTGTCATAACTGTGCAACGTGATTTTCATCGGCAGTGAACCTCCAACAGCTCAGAGCGTTCGTCGTTGGTTCCACAAAACTGGATGATCTGCAAAACGCATTGAAAGAGCTGTGAATACAGTGACACCCGACATGCTCAATCGAGTATGAGATGAATTTGACTATGCCGTTGATGTTGTCCGAACAGCTGGAGGAGGTTCATATTGAGCCCTTGTAAAATTACATAATAAACCTTATGCTCACTTAAACTATTTACAATTTACTGCATTGTTCTGTAATGATTTACAAGTTAAATAAATCATTTTGAAATCGGATGTATCTTTTTAAATCACACTGTATTATAGGTTACTGATCATAAAGCTACATGACACCTGCATAAGCTTGTCATGACAACTGACATGAATATTTATATATGCTTATTCCAATAGGCATCATTTGCTACAAAGGATACATTTACCAATTTTGATCAAAGTTAACCAAAGTAGCCTTTATGACAGATGATGCCTGTTGGAATTGAGCATTTACAAACATTTATGTAGGGTTCTGTCAGTTTCATGACAAGCTTATGGACAGTACCCTACAGTAAAGTGTTAGCAAAAATGTTTTGTTACTATATGAATAAGCATGAACACTTTGATGTGAGTAAGGAAAAAGAAAAAAGTAAGCCAGAACTTCAACCAACTCGATATTGGCTTATGATTGGGAACTAGGGGTGGGAATCTCTAGGCACCTCACGATTTGATTTGATTTCGATTCTGGGTGCAATGATGTGATTATGAAACGATGCATCTCGATTCAATATTTCTTGTAAAACCCACCTGATCCAGCTCATGAAGGGTCCCATAATCAGCTGATAAGCTGGATTAGATGTGTTGAATCAAGGAATACTTAAAAGCATACAGTGCTGTGGGTCACCAGGAGTAGATTTAAGAAAGACTAAACTCAATAAATATCAATTTTTGATTTCTATAGCCTACATCAGGGGTGTCAGTCATATCCACAAAGGGCAGCAAGAGAACCTGGGGCCAAGATCATGCCAGCTTTCCTAAGAAAAAAACTTGCGAGGGATCTTAGGACAAACATAAGAATTAAAAAAAAAATAAGAAGTACTCAAATATTCTCTTAAGAACATCTTCCTAATTTTCTTAAGAAAGCCTTAAGACTTGTTTTTGTATGTAGGCTGTAGGTTATTTGTCACATAGACCACCAATATCACATTGCATTTTACAGATTAACAGAAATTATATTATCTTTCTGCTAGTTATTCATTTTTATCACATTAGTGTATTGGGAAAACAAACAAACAAAAATGGCTCTGTCTACAAAGTGCATGTAAGCAGATGTGAAGGATTTCTCAGGTACACACATATCCAACCATTTACCTCTAAGGATTTGAGGAACTGACAAATAGAAGCCAACAGGTGTGATCTTACCGCCTGGAGACTTTAACATCCTCCTACAGCTGCTGCATGACAAAGGCACGTTAACGTCCAATCTTTCTCTCTCTCTCTCGTTCTCTTGCTTCCTGCTTTTCTTGCTCTCTTTCTCATTAAAGCTATAAGCCATGAGTCACCTCACAGCACTACACTGTGATTGGCTTTTAATTGCCTGACCTTGTCAGAGAAGAGAAGATTCTATGCAAACCACAGCAATATCACCAAGGAAAAGAGAGAAAGGAAGAACGGGATGGAAACAAGGTTAATAACACAAAAAGATAGGCCACCCACTTGAGATCGCCACCGCTAGATTCATGGGTCATTGATTCGCGTCGGTTTGGAGACCAGGCAGCATATCTGCTTGTGCATTTATTTGCATGTGTTGTGCTATGCTGTCATTTCTCGCCTGTGGTTCCTAAATTGCTCTTGACAGGTTGATTTCTTTCTGTCACTCCGCTGTTCAGAGTGGACTCTCTGAGCATGCTCCGTGCTGCTCGCCACACACGCTGCCACTTCTGCCCACGTCCACACTTCTGTCCATCACAATATCATTTAGTCTGAGAGGAGGGGGAGAAAAATAGTCCATGACACTAATTTGCAAGTTCGCTTGAGGTTTTAGAGTCATTACCAATAAAACCTTAAAGGAATTCTCCAGAATTTTGAAATAATCTCTGTCTGCCCTGTTGTGCTGCATACAGTTGATTACCATGGATAATAATTTAAATGCATTTCCCTGTATATAGAGTATTGTGCAAAAGTCAGAGATCACCTTTAGTCTATTAATTTGGAAACACTTTATTTGAAAGCTACCTACATAGGTTCTGTATTCACACATACATAAGCACTGAATAACATGTCTATGAATAAGTATTTATGACCAGCTTATGCTAGTAACTGCAAGATGACATAAGATGTTCTATGAAGTAAACATCATTGTATTGACATAAGGGACCTTAAGCTAAAATGACAGATGGTTGTTCTATTTATAATAATATTATGAAGCATCATTTCCAAGTAATAGTTTATAGCAGCTAAACATAGTTCTACATGAGTTAAAGTACAAAACCCTTGTGTCAATATAATGTCATTTACTTGAGCTTATAATATCCTCCAATTGCTTTATAAATTCATTATTCAATGCTTATGTATGTGTTATGATGTCCTTATGTAGGTGGCCTTCAAATAAGGTGTCACCATTCATTCACAATAAAAATGTGAAAAACAAGATACTCATATACGTCTGAAGAGATCAGATATAAGACAATCCACTTGCATAAGGAAGGGG